GCAGAGCCCTCTGCTGTGGTACTCTGCGCTCGACGCTGTGCTGATTGGCGCTGGTTGGAGCAAGAGCCAGGTCGACGAGGCCCTCTATTTCCGAGTTGGCGACGACGGAGTGGCGTGCTGGGTGCTCGTCTACGTCGACGACCTGCTCGCCGCCAGCAGCAGCACCGCGATGCTGAAGGAGCTGAAGGAGCTGCTGGAGGCTGCCTTTGAGCTGCGCGAGATCACCCCGGTCGAGAAGTACTTGGGGCTCGAAATCGTGCGTGACCGTCCGGCGCGGAAGCTGTGGCTTCACCAGCAGTCCTATGTCGACAAGCTGCGAAGGCGCTTCATCGACGAGGAGCAGACTGGTCGGCGTCCGAAGACACCTGTTTCCGTCGACGCGTATGCCGAGCTGACTTTCGACGACGATGACTTTCAGTCGCGCGAAGAAGAGGAGTATCGTCAGAAGGTCAGTTCGCTGCAGTTCTCTGCCACAACAACTCGGCCCGACATCGCTTTTGCGTGCAGCAAGCCGGGATCTGGTCTGACGGTGAGGAGCGATAACCACTGGCGTGAGGTCGACCGCTGCCTCAACTATCTCTCGGACACGCGTGATGTTGCTCTGGAGTTCGGAGGAGGACCGGAGACTCTGACACTGGTCGGCTACGCGGACGCTGACGACGCAGGCGACAAGCAGAATCGCACTAGCACGAATGGCTACGTTTTCACATTCGGCGGCGCAGCTGTCTCCTGGACAAGCCAACGCATTAAGTGCGTGACTCTGTCCTCTACGGAGTCAGAGTACATCGCGGCCACTGAGGCGGCCAAGGAGGCTCGTCGACTTCGATTCCTCCTCGCCGAGTTCCAGCTCCTCGATGCTGGGACGCCAACTACTCTGAACGTGGACAATTAGTCCGCCATCGCGGTCGCTGAGGGCTTGGGGCTGAAAGGCAACCTCAAGCACATGGAGCGACGCTACGCTTGGCTGCAGCAGATGGTGAAGTGCAAGAAGGTTGCGCTGGAATACATCCCAACATCCGAGCAGCCGGCGGACTTCCTCACAAAGGGTCTGCACTTTCCGGCCTTCAACCGGTGCTCTATCGCGATCGGCCAGGTTCGCCTTACCGCAGTCGGCGACAACGACGGCGTGCAGCAGTAGGTGCCATGTCCTCTAACATGGCTGGTGCGGTGGTCGGCGTGCGGGAGTGTGCACGCCAGAGAAATGTCCCCTTGTATTTTATTAACTAGGTTCTAGGTGGACCTTGTGTGTGGGTGCCCAAGCGTGAGCTGGGCAGGGGAGTGTCGAGGAGAAAAGGCCCCGCCCTCGCTTGGGCGAAGTCGGCCATGCTTTTCGGAGCACAACGGTGTTCGTTTCGTGGTCGCGACTTCAGGGACTTTTCTCTCTGACTGACGGGTCGATTTTCGACCAAATTACTTCGTCGAAATTGAAGTGCTGTTTCTGCTCTACACAACTGCCCCTCGACGAGGCACTTGTCGAGGGGAGCAAAACGGCGTCCAAATCGAGCCTCGCGGGTCGACGAAATGGTAGAAAACAGCGTTTCGACGAAACGCTGGTCGACAGAATTAAGCTCGAAACAGGCACCGTCGAGCAGAGCGCCCTGTCTTGCTGTCTCCCCCAGCCCTGCCTTGCTGTGTAGAGCGCACGTGCTCCTGCCCTGTGGCATATTTTTGAGTCGAAAATACATTCTACCTCAGTCTCCCCCAGCCCTGCCTTGCTGTGTAGAGCGCACGTGCTTCTGCCCCCTGGCATATTTTTGAGTCGAAAATACATTCTACCTCAGTCTCCCCCAGCCCTGCCTTGCTGTGTAGAGCGCACGTGCTTCTGCCCCCTGGCATATTTTTGAGTCGAAAATACATTCTACCTCAGTCTCCCCCAGCCCTGCCTTGCTGTGTAGAGCGCACGTGCTCCTGCCCTGTGGCATATTTTTGAGTCGAAAATACATTCTACCTCAGTCTCCCCCAGCCCTGCCTTGCTGTGTAGAGCGCACGTGCTTCTGCCCCCTGGCATATTTTTGAGTCGAAAATACATTCTACCTCAGTCTCCCCCAGCCCTGCCTTGCTGTGTAGAGCGCACGTGCTCCTGCCCTGTGGCATATTTTTGAGTCGAAAATACATTCTACCTCAGTCTCCCCCAGCCCTGCCTTGCTGTGTAGAGCGCACGTGCTTCTGCCCCCTGGCATATTTTTGAGTCGAAAATACATTCTACCTCAGTCTCCCCCAGCCCTGCCTTGCTGTGTAGAGCGCACGTGCTTCTGCCCCCTGGCATATTTTTGAGTCGAAAATACATTCTACCTCAGTCTCCCCCAGCCCTGCCTTGCTGTGTAGAGCGCACGTGCTCCTGCCCTGTGGCATATTTTTGAGTCGAAAATACATTCTACCTCAGTCTCCCCCAGCCCTGCCTTGCTGTGTAGAGCGCACGTGCTTCTGCCCCCTGGCATATTTTTGAGTCGAAAATACATTCTACCTCAGTCTCCCCCAGCCCTGCCTTGCTGTGTAGAGCGCACGTGCTCCTGCCCCCTGGCATCGGCGGGCACATCATTGCTGTGTATGAGAACAAGCCCACGTCGCTTATCCCTCCCTCCCCCACCCCTTTTTCCCCCAAACCCCCCTTCTTCCATGACTCATACAGAACCCTCCGGCCTTGCTAGGAAGAGACGTGTGATGAGGTTATTTTTTAGACGTCTCAACAGTAACATTTTTCCCCCAAACCCCCCCCTTCTTCCATGACTCATACAGAACCCTCCGGCCTTGCTAGGAAGAGACGTGTGATGAGGTTATTTTTTAGACGTCTCAACAGTAACATTTTTCCCCCAAAACCCCCCCTTCTTCCATGACTCATACAGAACCCTCCGGCCTTGCTAGGAAGAGCTCACGTGCTCCTGCCACCCGGCATCGGCGGGCGCATCATTGCTGTGTACGAGGACGAGCCCACGTCGCTCATTGCGTACGCCATCTCGTCCAATGAGTACTACCGCGCCGTGCATGGCGCCGCCACTGTCGTTGGTGCCACTGCTGCCCACACTGCCATTGCTCAGAATGCCGCTAGTTCTGCTCGTGCGCCTGCTTCTGGTGGTGCTGCTGCTGCTGTCAGTAACACGTCTGCTGCTGGGGGAGGGGCTGGGAGTGGTGGTGCGGGTGCGGGTGCTGGTGCGGGTGCTGGTGCGGGTGTGGGTGTGGGTGTGAGTGTGGGCAGATAGGGAGTGTGTTTGGGCCTGGAGTGTCAGCCAAGGGGGTAGGGGGGAGTGGGAGAGTGGTGGAATCAGAGGTGGTGGGGGCTAAGGCAGTAGGCGAGCTGGTCAGGCAAGCCTCTTCTGCTGCTGCAGCTGCTGCAGCGGCAGCGGCGGCCATGGCAGCAGTAGAAGCAGATGATAAAACAGGAGGAGGAGCAACGGAAGCAGGATCAGGAGGAGGAGGAGCAGCAGCAGCAGCAGCAGCAGGGCCAAGCCGTGCAGGTGCAGCAGCAGATGCATGTGGAAGCGTTGCTGCCCCTACACCTGATTCTGCAGCTGAAAGCACTCGTCGCACTGATGGCTCTCCACCTGCTGCTGCTGCTAGGGCACCAGGACCCACAGCAGGCTGCATAGAGACTGCAGCAGCAGCAGATGCACAGTCCACAGCTGCAGGGGCAGCAGGGGGGAAACGAACAGCAGGGGAAGGAAGCGAAATCGATTGGGAGGCGAGAGGGGGAGGGGGAAATGGAGCAGAGTTGGCGAGCTCAGGTGCTCCAGCAGCTGCAGCAGCAGCAGGAGCAGCAGGAAGAGCAGGAGCAGCAGGAAGAGCAGGAGCAGCAGGAAAAGAAGCGTACGGGATGGCTGCAGAGGAGCGGCCAGTGAGGCTGTGGAAGAGGCTAGAGCCCTTCGCGAAAGAGATGGTGGAGGAGGTAGCGATGGTCGGAGATCTAGAGAAAGTAGTACTAGCGATAGTGCAGCAGCAGCAGCAGCAGCAGCAGCGCCCTGTGGCAGTGGCAGTCCGGTGCCCGACGGAGGGCAGGCCCGGCAAGCCCATGCGCTGCACGCTGCTTCTGCACAGAGTGCTGTAGAGGCAGGTAGAGAAGATGGTGAGGGAGTGGAGAGCGGTGGGGTTAGATCTAGTGCCGAGCTGAGAATGCTGGCAGGAGCAGAGAGGGATGGTGCTGGTCCTGGTGCTGGTGTTGCTGGTGATGGTGATGGTGGTGGTGCTGACACTGCAGGCGTGACACAAGGGCTGAAAGATAGACTGGAACAAGATAGACTGGAACAAGATAGACTGGAACATGATAGACTGGAGCATGGGTCCGTGCCTCAAGACACGTCTGCGACTGCAAGTGCTGATAGTGGTGGGGGTGCTGCTGGCGAGACTTCTTTTGCCACTGCTGATGGGCGTGGTGATGTGGGAGGAGAGGAGGGAGCTTGCAAGCAAGAGGAGACATCATCACAAGACCATCAACCAGCATCCTCCATGCAGCACGAACAAGTGCAACAAAAACCTTCAGAAGCAGCATCGGAACCGTCACAGTCGCAGGAAGAACCATTACAAGCACAACCAGAAGAGAGGCGAGCTGGGGGAGAGACAGAGCCAGTGCCAGTGCCAGTGCCAGTGCCATCGCAAGGGGAACCGGAGCCCATGCCATCTCGGGGAGAAGCGGCTCCAGTGCCGTCCCGGGATGAGCCATTGCCATCCCGAGAAGAGCCAGTGACAATGCCCACTCAGGAGGACCCGCTGCTGTCCCGGGAGAAACGCCACGTGAAAGTGGCATTCACAGTGGGGGGAGGTGACGATACCCTGCCCTTCCCCGCACTGCCCTTCCTCCCCGGCCCCACCACCAACCCCACCGGCACCACGGGCAGCAGCAGCGCCAGCAGCGGGATTAGTGGCGGCATTAGTGGCAGTGGCATGAACAGTGGCGGTATGAGCAGCGGTGCGTCAACGCCAGTGGGTGCTGGTAGCAGTAGCCGTCGGCGTGGGATCGGCGGTGGCGTTGGTGGGGGGAGTGGCTCTGCAGCATCGTTCCAGGTGACTGCCTACTTCGCCAAACAGTTTGACGCGCTCCGCCGCAAGTGCTGCTCTCCCTTCCCCCCAGCCACCGCCACTGCCTCATCCGGCCAGCAGAAGGCTGTAGCTGACACAGGAGAAGGGGCAGCAGGGTCGGCAGGGGCAGCGGGGGCGGCAGGGGCAGGGGCGGCAGGGGAAGGGGTGGTGGACGGGAGTGGCGATGTGGAGTTTGTGCGGTCGCTGTGCCGCTGCAAGCGCTGGAGTGCCGAGGGCGGCAAGAGCTCCGTGTATTTCGCCAAGACTGCGGACGACCGTTTTGTCATCAAACAGGTGGGTTGAACTCTCCTTTCCTCAGACTCTGGCCGCCCTCTGCCCTCTCCTTGCCTGTGCGCTCTCCTCTCCTCTCCCCTCACCTCTTCTCCGCCCTCGTTTTTGTTTATTATTATTATTGTTACTATTAATATTACTATTGTTATTATTATTATTGTTGTTATTATTGTTATTATTGTTATTATTATTATTATTGTTATTGTTATTGTTATTATTATTATTACTATTTTTATTATTTTAATCTCCTATTTTTCTTCATCTCACAGTCAAGCCCTTGTGTTTCCGTCCACTCTCCCTCATCCCCGTTATAAGGTGCAACGCAAGGAAATACTGGCGTTTCTGGACTTTGCCAACGACTACTTCAAGCACCTGTTTGACGCCATCGAGTCCAGCAACCCCTCCTGCCTCGCCAAGATCCTCGGCCTCTACCAGGTGGGGTCGTGAGGGGGATTTGTGTAGATAGATGATGCTGATGTGTGGGAGGGATGTGAATGGTCCTTGTTTTGTACCAGTTGCTGTCGTGAGGGATAATATCGCTCTCTGCTTTTTGCTCTCTGCTCTCCCCTTTCCTCTCTCCTCTCTGCACTCTCCTCTCTGCACTCTCCTCTCTGCACTCTCCTCTCTGCACTCTCCTCTCTGCACTCTCCTCTCTGCACTCTCCTCTCTGCACTCTCCTCTTCCTCTATGCACTCTCCTCTCTGCACTCTCCTCTCTGCACTCTCCTCTCTGCACTCTCCTCTCTGCACTCTCCTCTCTGCACTCTCCTCTCTGCACTCTCCTCTCTGCACTCTCCTCTCTGCACTCTCCTCTCTGCACTCTCCTCTCTGCACTCTCCTCTCTGCACTCTCCTCTCTGCACTCTCCTCTCTGCACTCTCCTCTCTGCACTCTCCTCTCTGCACTCTCCTCTCTGCACTCTCCTCTCTGCACTCTCCTCTCTGCACTCTCCTCTCTGCACTCTCCTCTCTGCACTCTCCTCTCTGCACTCTCCTCTCTGCACTCTCCTCTCTGCACTCTCCTCTCTGCACTCTCCTCTCTGCAGCTCCTCTCTGCACTCTCCTCTCTGCACTCTCCTCTCTGCACTCTCCTCTCTGCACTCTCCTCTCTGCACTCTCCTCTCTGCACTCTCCTCTCTGCATCTCCCCTCTCCTCTCTGCACTCTCCTCTCTGCACTCTCCTCTCTGCACTCTCCTCTCTGCACTCTCCTCTCTGCACTCTCCTCTCTGCACTCTCCTCTCTCCTCTCCCCTCTCTCCTCTCTCTCCTCCCCTCTCGCCTCTCTCCTATCTTTGCCCTATAACCTTCCATCCCGTGCATGCGTGTGTGAGCAGGTGACAGCAAAGGGCGTGACTATGGACGTGATGGTCATGGAGAACCTGCTCTAACGGCCCGTCGGATCACCAAGCTCTACGATCTCAAGGGCTCCCGTCGCTCCAGATACAACGCAGACCGCTCCAAGAGCAGGGTATGTGCGCAAGGGGTTGGGTGGGGTAGGGTGGGGGAACCTGTACATACACTTGTGGTTCCTGTACATGCATTTGTGATAAAGCATTCTCACATCAACTCCCCTTTTCCCCCGTCTCTTTCCCATTCTCTTCCCTCCTCCTCTCTTCTCCTCGCCTCAGGTACTGCTAGACGAGAACCTGCTAGAAGCCATGCCCACGTCGCCCATCTTCGTAGGGAAGCGGTCCAAGCAGCTGCTGGAGCGCGCTGTGTGGAACGACACGGCATTCCTCGCGGTGAGACGAGATGAGAGTGGTTGAGAGCAGTTGTATGTAAGATGGGTAAGCATTCACCTCCACGCAGCTGCTGGAGGGACGTGTGGGAACCACGCCGTTCCCCCATTGGTACAAAAGCGGCTGAGAATCGTTGAGAGCGGTTGAGAATCAGGTACGAAGGTAATGATTCACTCACCACCCTCCCCACCTGTTCCGGTCCTTCCCCCCACCCACAGAAACACGCCATCATGGACTATTCTCTGCTCGTAGGGGTAGAAGAGGAGCGCTCAACACTGGTGGTGGGCATAATCGACTTCATCCGCCCCTACACGTGGGACAAGCAGCTGGAAACATGGGTCAAAGCGTCTGGACTGCTAGGGGGAGGCGGGGCGGGCAAGGACTCTACTCCTACGGTGATCTCTCCTTCTAACTACAAGAAACGGTTCCGGAAGGCCATGCAGACG